AATACTTCCTTGAGTGAGGATAAAAATAGATAAGTAAATATAATATCATACAGTAAAGAAGATTTAAATGAACAGAATAATTTGATATTGTAAAAATGTCATTTGTCCAAATTGATTTCAAGATTGATAGTGCCAATCAAAACTGCAGTGGAGTGGGGGCTATTTTTTTTTTCAAGGAACTTGACAAACTTTTTTGTAGAAAAGCAAAAAGTAAAAAATAGACAAAACACTCCTGATGAAGGAAGTCATCAAGAATTATTGCCAAGGTAGAGTAATTAAAACTATTTGTTGGTTCAGGGATAATCAAATCATTTGCAGAACAGAATACAGAGCTCAGAAACAAATCCACGCACATGTGCAAACTTGCTTTAGGATACAGATGGCATTACAGTTCAGCTAGGAAAAAACAGACTTTGCAATAAAATGATACTGGGACAGCTGGATATCCATTTAGAAATAAAATTAGACTCCTGCTTCCATCATACACAAAATCAATACCAGCTGCATTAAAATTTTAATTGTGGAAAGCAAAACTAGAAATTTTTAACTTATGTAGAAGTATCTTTATAGTCTTCTGACAAGGAAAAAAATTTAAAAAATAACAAGATACAGAAAGTACAAATCATAGGAATAAAATTCTACCTCATTAAAACTGAGAACTTATTATTCAAAAGACTCTTTACAAAGTGGAAAGATAAGTCATAAATTGGACAAATGTATTTTAAAAATGAAATGTTAGCCTCCAGAATAGATGAAGAATTCCTACAAATCAATTAAGAGAAAGCCAAACAACCAAATAGAAAAAATGAACAAAAGATCAGAACAGACATTTCACAGATGAGGAAATACATGTGAACTATACACATCTGAAAATATGCTCAATATAATTATTAAACAATACATTTTAAAACAAATGAGATACCAACCATCACCCAACAGATTGGCGATTTGCCCCCTTCCCGACCTCCCTCCCTGCCCCAAAATGACACTATAAAGTTGGTGAGGACATGGGGCAACTAAAACTTTGGAAAACAACTTGGCACTATCTAGTAAATTTCAAATTTCAAGAACCATCAGCAATTTCACTCTGAAATATGTGCCCTAGAGAAACTCTTGTCCATGCAAACCAGGAGTCTCATACAACCATGTTCATAACAGCACTGTTTACAATACAAAAAACTTGAGCACTATACTGATGACAGTGTTCTAGAATGGAATAAATGAATATGCTTTAATACATGTACATAATAAAATACTATACAGCCATGACAACAAATGACAACCATGTACACACATAGATGAATCTTAAAAACATATTACTGAGTGATAAGAAGTCACAGAAAAATAAACTCAATGACTATATTTAGATAAAATTTTAAAGCCTGTAAATTTAATAATGTATTGTTCAGAGTATAAACATCTTACCTAATAATAGACAAACATGCAAATTAACCATCCTTCCGCTATCCTCACCAGCCAATCAGGAGATTATGCAAATTAACCCAACAAAGATGGCAGTTAATTTGCATACGTAGGGGCAAAGCAGTGGAGCGAAGACTCCGTCTGGAGCCGCGAAGACTAAAGGCTCCGTCTGGAGCAAAGGCCTGGGTCCCGGGTGCCGGAGGAAAACCGGTGCCAGCAGCCAGGGGAAGGGAAGGCCTATTGCACGAATCTCTTCATGCAACGGGCCTCTAGTATGTAATAAAACTATAAAGAAAAGCAAGGAATGGTGAGCACAAAATTCAAAAGAGTAGTCACTCAGAAGAAAGGAATGGGCTCAGTGAAGCAAACATCAAATGTTGGTGAGGGTGAGTACTCCCAAACACCACAGGCCAGAGTGCAAACAGCGGATCACTGTACCTATGGAGGGAAAAGGCAGGAAGAAAGGAGAACTGAGGATTCTGTACCAGAATACTTTCCTACTTTATTTTTGCCTTGGGCTGAAGTTGCCAAAATTATAACATGGAAATTAGAACCATCTGTTGACAGGATAAGTTAGTGAGCTGGGCAGAATTTACCAAAAGAAATTGAGTAATGTATTTTAGAATCTGTTTCAAATTGTGGAAAAATATAAATAAAAAGCCTACTTTATTTGAGAGAGGAAAAAGCTGTCATTTAATCATTATCTATAATGGGAAAAACATGGAAATAACTTAAATAACCATTAACATAATATTGGTTAAATAAAATAGGAGACATTTCATACTGTGGCACACTGTTATAATAGTTATAAAAAATTAAATAGATCAGGAATAGTGAAATGGACTGATATGGAACAGGAGAGAGTTGTTAAATAGATGCTACTTAGTATATGTTAGAGTCATTTCAAAACAGAAGAGAAAAATGAATTAGTCAATAAAATGTTTTTGAGACACTGGATGCCCACTGCTGTATCTCAAAACATTCACAAATATTTTAAATCCAGATAGGTTAAAGAACTAAAAAAATTAAAATGAAATATGATGAACATGCACTATGAACCTATGTGGGAAAAGCCTTCTAAAAACACAAGAACAAAAGCTCAGAAGGAAAAGAGGAATAAATATGACTATACAAAATAGAAAGCCTCTATAAAAACACCAACAAAACAAAAAAAAGTCTATAAAAAAGGTTTAAAGGTAATTCATAGCCTGTAAAATGATATTTGCAACATAAATAACAGAAAGGATTAGTAAAATGGTAGAATCATCCCTCATGTGACATATTTTGTGACTTTTTTCCTCTTAACGGTTGCCATTGATGCTCATTTATACTCAGTTTCACTTATATTAAAATGTTGGCAAGGGGAACCATGTCCACAAAGCCTGAACATGGATATTTACAGCACCTTTATTTATAACTAGAGGCCCAGTGCACAAAATTCGTGTGCGGGGTACGGTCCCTAGGCCTGGCCTGTGATCAGGGCCATCTTCCCCAGCTGCCTGCAGCTGGCCCTGCCACCCACCTCCACCCACCCCCAGTTCCCCGTTCGTCATCCAGTGATTAGAGCCTGTCGGCCCGTGGGAGGAACTGAGAGGTTGGCCATTCCCACTTGCTCGCAGGTCCTGCCCCTGCCGTGGGTCGCCCTCTGTGTGGGGCGACTGGCGGGGCAGGGGACTTGGCCTGGCACCACCCACGTCCCCTGCCACCCACCCCTGGTTCCCTGTTCGCCATCAGCCAATCAGAGCCTGTCGGCCAGGGAAAGGGACCGAGAGGTGGTCAGTGTGCCTCATAGTGACTGGTCCAGCGGATGTTCTGGTCATTCCGCCATTAAGGTCAATTACCCTTTTATTATATAGGTTTGCCAAAACTTGGACACTACTAAGATGTTCTTCAGTAGGTGAATGGATAAGTACCCTAGCATATCCTATCCAGCACTAAAGGAAAAGGGCTATTAAGCCATGAAAAGACACGGAGGAACCGCAATGCATATCACTAAGTGAAAGAAGCCAGTCTGAAAAGGCTACATACTGTATGATGCCAACTATGTAACTTTTTGGAAAAGACAAAAGTATGGAGACAGTTCCAATATCAGTAGTTACCATTGGGTAGAGGGGGATGTAGAAATGAACAGCAGAGCATACAGGATTTTTAGGGCAGTGAAACTTCTCGATATCGTACTATAATGGTGGACACATGTTACATATTTGTCAAAACACATAGAATGTACCAAACCAAGAGTGAAGCCTAATGTAAACTATGGGGTTTGGATGATATTGTGACCATAAAGTGTTAATGTAGGTTCACTGACTGCTATGAATGCACCACTCTGGTGCGGGATGCTAATAATGTGGGAAGCAGTGCTTATTTGCAAGTAGGGGGTGTATGGGAAATCTCTGTACCTTCTTCTCAATTTTGTTGTGAATCTAAAACTGCTCTTAAAAATAAAATCTATTAAAAAGGTGGGGGAAATGTATGGGGTTACTAATAAGAATACAAAAATGTTTCCTTACTACTCTTTCTTCAAGCTTCTGGATTTGGATCAGTTTAGATAAAGTATATTCTAAGAATACAAAGCAAGATGTCTACAAAACTGTAACCACTTATAACTAATTATCCATGTGAATAATACTATCCTTGTGCAGCAAATATTATCCACAACTTCTTGTTTTTGTGTCTATTAAAATATCCTCACCACTCTCATGATTGGTTTTATAAGGAAACTATAAACATGAACTTGTAAAATAAATCTATACTAATAAACTACAGTTTTTATATTTTTTGGATACTGGGTATCTATATAAGGGAAAAGTGTGGTGCATGGTCCAAAGATGAGGGCGAAGATGAAACTCAGAACATAAGGAGCCACCTCTGTGATAAGGGAAAGCATGCCTGGGAGAATATAAAAGCAAAGATATCTGAAGGGATGAAAAATACTAATGAAAAAGTTTCATTCTCATATTGGCAGAAGATCTTTCATCTTATTTTTTGAGAAAATCAAGTGATAATTGAGTGTTCATGGAGAATAGAAAGGACGAAGTGGCTCAACAATGAGTCAATCAGATCTTGAGTAGCAGTAGAGCCCAGTTGGAATTTAATGGTGTAATTTATTGGAGACAGATTTTGTATAATTTTATACTGTGCCTTTTTCTCTAATGTTAATTACTCAAGAGTTGATTAACCAATTTGTGGGATACTATATACATCTTGCTTTTCATCTAATGCTTGCTTCTGAAAAATGGCATAATTTAAAGTCTTTATCAAAGAGAAGTTAATACAAATGAAAAAAGGAACTGAAATTAATTTGTTCTGTTCTTAACAATTCATAAAAGATGTAAGGCTTGTAGTTAATAATTTTTTAAACAAAACAATGACAAAATAGAGATAAAACATTGAAATAAATGGTAAGATAAGATTACAGACTCACATGTGGGTTGAATTTGCCCATGCTAGTCATGCTCAAAGTTAAATTAAAGCCGTTGTTGCTATATTTCACAAAATAAAATTTGATGAAAAAAATTCCTGCCCAGTGTTTCTTATTCACGTTTCTGAGTAAACTTCCTATTCTTTAACCAACTTACCTGCATTCCAGAGGTTACAATCTTCTGCTTGCCCTTCTGACAACCATGTAGATGACGAGATAATGGCTGGAGGAATTGTCGGCAAAAGTGGCTTTGGGTCATCCTCATAAAATAGCATCAGGTCCTTACAGAAAAGAAGAGAGCACATAAAAGTTGAAAAAAAAAAGAATACCATTGCCTCAGTTTGCTACAACGGATGGGCAATTTGTGGAGATACAATCTATACGCACTATGTGCAAAAATGTGTATAAACACATTTTTAAATATATTTTTATTGATTTCAGAGAGGAAGGGAGAGGAAGAAAGAGATAGAAACATCACTGATGAGAGGGAATCATTGATTGGCTGCCTCCTACACGCCCCCTACTGGGGATCGAGCCCGCAACCTGGGCATATGCCCTTGACCAGAATCAAACCTGGGACCCTTCAGTCCGCAGACAGACGCTCCATCCACTGAGCCAAACCAGCTAGGGCAAACACATTTTGATTGAAAGAATTCACACATGAGCTATCTTGTGTGAACTGGGTGTCCACTGAGTATAGGATGATCCAAATAAAGTATATGCAGTGGGGTTGGTTAATATGTCTTTTTCTCCCATAAACGGGGATACTTAATAGTACTTTATTATAGTACTAGAGGCCCGATGCACGAATTCGTGCACTGGTAGGGTCCCTCGGCCTGTGGGGATCGGGCCAAAACCAGCTCTTTGACATCCCCCGAGGAGTTCCGGATTGTGAGAGGGTAGTTCTCGGGTGATGCACCCCGGAATCAGGCTCCCTCCTCTCTGGTTCCGGGTCCATCACCTGAGAACCACAGCTGCCAAGTCATTGCAGCTCAGCAGCTTCTGCATTGAGCGTCTGCCCCCTAGTGGTTAGTGCGCGACATAGCTACTGGTCGGAGCATCTGTGCCCTGGTGGTCATTGCGCATCATACCTACCGGTTGCACAGTAGAACGGTCGCTTAGGCTTTTATGTATATAGATAATGAACATATAGTAAGTGCAAAAACCTTAAGTATGAGCTCAGTAACTTTTACTTTAGGTGTATACCTATACATAACCACATTTCCTTCACTCCAGAAAGTTCCCTCAAGTTCCTTTCTAGTTGATACCATCCCTCCATCACTAGTAAATAGTATTCTATATTCTATCACCACCAATGAGTTTGCCTGTTCTTGAATTTCATATAAAGATAACCATACACTATATATGCTTGTGTATCTGATTCACATTGTTTATCATAATGGTCATGAGATGCATCTGTATTTTGTGTGCAAGTAGTCCCCCCTTATCTGTGGTTTTACTTTCAGTGGTTTTAGTTATACACAGTCAAACATGTTCCAAAAATACTAAATAAAAATTCCTGAAATCGCCCTTACTGGTTTGGCTCAGTGGATAGAGCGTCGTCCTGCAGACTGAAGGGTCCCAGGTTCGATTCTGGTCAAGGGCATATACCTTGGTTGCAGGCACATCCCTAGTAGGGAGTGTGCAGGAGGCAGCTGATCCATGTTTCTCTCTCATCCATGTTTCTAACTCTCTATCCCTCTCCCTTCCTCTCAGTAAAAATCAATAAAATATATTTTAAAAAATTCCTGAAATAAACAATTCCTAAGTTTTAAATTGTGTGCCATTCTGAGTAGCGTGATAAAATCTTGTGCTGTCCTGCCCAGAATGCAAATCGTCCCTCTGTCCAGCAAATCCATGCTGTATATGCTGCCCGCCTGTTAGTCACTCAGTAGCTGTCTTGGTGATCAGATTGACTGTCATGGTATCACAGTGGTTGTGCTCAAGTAATTCTTATAGTAGCCTAATGTTATGTCACTTCATCTCATCACGGAGGCATTGTATCATCTCATATCATCACAAGAAGAAGGGTGAGTATAGTACTATAAGATATTTTTGAGAGAGAAACCACATTCACATAACTTTTAGTGCAGTATATTGTTACAATTTTTCTCTTTATTATGTTATTGTTAATCTGTTACTGTGCCTAATTATAAATTAAACTTTATTATAATATTAGGAAAAACAGTACAGATGGGGTTCAATACCAGTATTATCCTCAGTTTCAGGCATCCACTGGATCTTGGAGCATATCCCCCATGGATAAGGTGGAACAACTGCATCAGTATTTCTTTTTTGTAAGAAATATTCCATTGTGTGAATATATCATAATTTTTTAAAAATTCTTTATTGTTTAAAGTATTACATATGTCTCCTTTTTTCCCCATTGACCTCTCCCCAGCCACTCCCACCCCCAGCACATGCTCTCACCCCCCTAGTGTTTGTGTCCACTGGTTATGCTTATATGCATGCATATAAGTCCTTTGGTTGATCTCTTACCCCCTCCCCGACCCTTCCCTGCCTTCCCTCTGAGGTTTGATGGTCTGCTCGATGCTTCTCTGTCTCTGGATCTATTTTTGTTCATCAGTTTATGTTGTTCATTATATTCCACAAATGAGTGAGACCATGTGATGTTTATCTTTCTCCAACTGGCTTATTTCACTTAGCATAGTGCTCTCCATGTCCATACATCCTATTGTGAATCGTAAGAGTTCTTTCTTTTTTACCGCAGCATAGTATTCCATTGTGTAGATGTACCACAGTTGCCGGGGTCCAACCCCAGCAGGTCCAGGGGTCCCCAAAGGTGTGGATGGAGTCGGCGAAGAAGGAATGACACGGAGACAGCGTTCAGTTGATCAGCAGCCTAGCCAGGATCTCTAGCCAGGATCTCCAGCCAAGTTCTGGTCTGGATCTCCAGAGAGGTTCTGCTGTTTATTGTTTTGTTACATCCGTATTTATACCAGTTGATTTTAATCCTGTCAATTTCTATTACAAAGGTTAGGGCGTTTCTTATCTCCATTCCAGGGAGTAAAGATTATGTAGCTTAAGCATGACTGTTTGTAGTTAAAGTGATTAACTACCCGCCTGGCACTTAGTTAAGGAGTTTCATCCCCTCCCTAACTTCAGGGAAAAATTCCTACCTGGGGAAACAACCTTTCTAGGAGAGGCATCCCCTCCCTGACTTCAGGGAAAAATTCCTACCTGGGGAAACAACCTTTCTCGGAGAGGTGACCTTGGTTAAAACACACAGCGCTAAGGGGAGCAAACATATTAAGAACAGTATGCTATATACGCCAGGTCCCTTGAAACATATGCTGTGCAGATGTTTCTTTCCTGCAGCGACTGTGTCAAGCAGCAAGGATGGACCGGCTTCCGGCACACAGTTTTTTAATCCAGTCATCTGTTGATGGGCATTTAGGCTGCTTCCAAATATTAGCTATGGTAAATTGTGCTGCTATGAACATAGAGGTGCATATATCCTTTCTGATTGGTGTTTCTTGGGATAGTCACAATTTTTTAATCCATTCTCCTGCATATGAACATTTGGGTTATTTCCAAATTTCAGTTATTAAGAATAAAGCTCATTACCCCTGGATATTACATAGGAGAAGAATGGCCAAGCTGTACACTTATTTTTAACTTCATCCAAAACTGCCAAACAAAGTGATTTGCTACTTTTTATAATTTAACTTTTATTTATTTTGACATCATTGTAGTTTCACATTCAGTTGTGAAAAATAATAGATTCTGTGTATATTCTTTATCCTTTACCCAGCTTCCCTGGTAACATGTTGCAAAATTATAGTACAACGAAAGGCACAGTGCATGAATTTGTGCACGGCTGGGATCCCTAGACCTGGCCGGCGATCAGGGCCAAATGGGGCCAGGCGGATCAGGGCCTGTGGGCCAGGGGGAGGGACCTGTGGAAGGCTGGCCACTGGCCCCAAGGAGGGAGCTGGCCCTCAGCCCCCCTGGGAAAGGGGATGCGTCTGCCACCACCCACCCCCAGTTCCCCATCCAATCCCAGGGCCCAAAGGCTCCGGAGGGGTCGGGAGAGGAGGCGACGGTTGCCAGGCCGGGTGCAGAAGGAATGGACGCCGCCGCCACCATGGTTGGCGCCCTGCAATTGCACGGTTCCCTGTCTCCTCCCTTTGCGATTGCGCCGCCACCATGGCAGGCAGGCGGCCCCTGGGGAAGGGAGAGGACAGGAGTGAGACAAACCCTGTGTTGAGGGCTGACTTTCAATAGAATGCAGTGAGGGAACTGCTCTGCTACATATGAAACCCCAACCCAAAAGCAGGTCTACAAATGGTTTAGCACCAGGAGTTGATGGGGGCCAGCCGGCTGGGGGGAGGGACTGCAGGAGGTTGGCTGGCCAGGGGGAAGGGACCACAGGCGGTTGGCTGTGGGAGCGTACTGACCACCAGGGGGCAGTTCCTGCGTTGAGCATCTGCCCCCTGGTGGTCAGTGCACATCATAGTGACTGGTCGTCTGGTTGTTCCAGTCGTTCAGTCGTAACAGTTGCTTAGGCTTTTATATATATAGATATTATATCCTGGATATTGACAATGAAATGATCAAAATAAAGAACATTTTCATCACAAGGATCCTTCCTGATGCCTTTTAATTACCAGTCTCCACAACTACTAATCTATTCTCCATTTTTATATTTTTGACATTTAAAGAATGTTATATAAATGGCATTTTTTTAACCTGGCATAATTCCTGGAGAGTCATCTAAGTTGTTGTGTGTATCAATAATTTGTTCCTTTTTATTGCCAATTAGTATCCATGATATAGATGTAAGACAGCTTAATTCGTTAAAGGACATCTGGATTGTTTTCAGATTTTAGCAATTACAAATAAAGCTGCTTTCAACACTGTGTATAGGTTTTTGTATGAAAATAAGTTTTCATATCTCTGGGATAAATGCCTAAAAATGCAATTGCTGAGTCATATAGTAATTGCATGTTTAGTTTTATAAAGAAAGTGCCACTATTTTCCTGAGTAATTGTACCACTTTACAATATATATGCGATCCAATTTCTCCACATGTTCACCAGCATTTGGTGGTGTCACTACTTTTTACTTTAGCTATCTTGATATTTACTGTGTGTTTATATTACATGTTCCTAATAGCTAATGCTGTTTAACATGTTTTCACTTGCTTTAGTGGCCATCTGTATTTGCTGAAGTGGCTGTTCATATCATTTGCCCATTTTCTAACTGGATTGTTTGGTTTTTAACTGTTGCGTTTTAAGAATTCTTTTATGCTCCAGAT